CCCCCCCCCACAACTGGGTGAGTGTATGTTTTTGAAGACGTTCCAAAATGCGTCTCCGAGATGGAAATAATAGTGTGCCTTATACAGTGAAGATCCGCGGAAACGGAATTGATTAAAATGCTGAAAAGGTGAATGTTGGTAGGAAATCCTCCTCCTTGCGAAACTGGACCTGTTGACCTGGCCAATTTTCAGCCATCTTGACCGAGCAAGCTTAGTTGCGTGTGTCTGGCTGCCATGTAAATATTTACTTTCCATGATTGTTATTACTCTTCACGCATGGTAGGGGGGGAGGGTGGACGAAAAAAAATGGCTTATTATATTCAATCAGAACACAGAATATTCAGTTTATTTGTTTTGTTCATTGGTTTAGTTTTTTTTTTTTTCCATTCTTTCTTTCTTTCTTTCTCTCTTTGTGCGGGGCGAGTTGGATGGAGGCCAGATGAGATGACCAAACGGGCTCATTTGTGACAAGGACACAGCTTCAGGATCACATCATATATGAACAAAATTATTACCCGTCATGGGGGTCTGTCAGTAATGGAAGATGTTAACACGCGGTATGTGTCGCTCTCATTGCAAGGGTATGGCGCTAAAACCAGCGGCGATCAGGGAAAAAGTAAATAATTATCAACTATTCATTTTCTTTTAAATGTTCACATAAGCTGACTTTTAAACTATTATTATCACTTTCAGCAGTTATATGTCTATTCACAAGTTAAGGATAGAAATTCAAATCTCTTATGTACAACAAAAGACACAATTACTGCCAAGACACTTTTTATGCATGCTTGGCAAGTCGTCGAACAGTGCGGGTCAAAAGCAAAAAAAAAATTAAATATTTTAAACGATACGAAGGAAGGAATTGTCCGAAAATTGTGACGCGGTAATCGATTACTTGATCACTTGGGCTCGTGTCAGACTTCCCTCGGGGAACACAAAAGTAGCTCCATTGCAAGTCGGTGGTGCGAGGGCAGCACGTGTGCAGTGACCAATCAGATGCAAAGATTTAGGGAAAGTTGAACTTCGTTTTGAAAAAAAAAATTATAAAAGTTCCTTCAACTCGAAGTAAAACGCATTTTAGATAGGAAAATAGCACACAAAAAAAAAAGATCCAGAAGGAGGAAGTTTACACAAAACACAAATGACCAGCCTGTGGATCAGTTTTTTTTTTTTTTTTTTTTTGTGCGTTTTTCAGGCGAGCTCGAGCTGATAGAGGGCGAGGCAAGTGGATGAAGGGAAAACTCGCGCAAGACGAAGAACCCTGGGGGGTTTGCCTCGCGTTTACCCCGCGTTTACGCCTTCATGCTTGTTCTAAAAGCAAGGAAAATAACTAACTTGGAAATTTTAGCCTTATCATCTCAGATGAGCATCGTGTAGCGTCAGGCTTTGTCAAAAAAAATAAAATAATAAGATAATACAGCCTTCTTGCGCTCCCAGCTGCCGGGCATTTCGGTGTTGCCTTCAGTTTAAAGTATTAAACGAATTCTGCGTAAGGAGGCGGCGAGTCCCGTAGCCAAGACAGTCTGGATGCATCAAAAGTGGTAACCACAACAAAGTCATATGGAGGTGGTGATGGTTTTAGAGTCCTCGGCTCTCTGCCTGCCACCTGATCAAGTACAAAGCTGGATGGTCCATGATCACGAGGTAAGTTTTCAGTTACCGATGTTGTACACGTCGCCTCTGGAATCCTATCAGTGCTGTGAGAAGATTCTAATCTTCTATTATCAAGGCACGCATAAGACTCTCCGCAAGAGCAAGAAATGTCAGAGCTGGTTGTGTACGGTTCGCCCGAGCAAACTGCATATGGAGGTGGATTATCTGCACACGTGTCAACCGCGGTGGTAGAAAATCCAGGATACCTGGGTAGATATGGAAAATGGCTGTCAACTTCTGAATTTTCTTGGCTGTTGTCTCCAAAACGCGTTGATCGCGAGGCCAACACTTTTTTCCAACCGCAACCGAATCTGCGAAGCAAGTCACATACAACGGCCAAGCATGCGCCAGCGATACATAAAACTAACCCGACAGCGCCCATTCCGTAATCAGATGAAGTGAACCCAGCCACAACAAACACGACTCCGACCATCAAACTAGCGATGTACAACAAGAAAAGGAACATCCACCATTCCGAGACTTTATATCCATTCGAATTGTACTGGCAGAGAGTCATTTTGCATTGAAGCATCAGAAATTTCTTCTCTGTCAAGCTTGCACGTTGACTAGCGACCAACTAAAAACCCATGACGGTCACTTGTCTCGATTTGACAGTTGCGCGTTATGTATATAAGATTCCACTGAGGGAAAAAAAACCTAATAAGTAATGAAAAATGTTGAAAATGTCATCAATATTTTTAAATGAATTATGTGCATTTAAGTCGAGAAAAAAAAAACAAACAAACAAAAACGGCGCTGAACAACGCACGCGGAATTTTAGAAGCGAAGAATAGGGTCGAAAGCTGTACTTACCAGTTATGATGTAACGCACGATACAGCCGACTTGTTGGTTATTTTGAATAATTATTTTTTCATAGCGTTTAAGGAAAAGATTTATCCCTTTCCTTTTTTATAACAAGGCTTAGATTGTTGAAAAATCAGACGAAGATCGCTCGGTTCGCTTTCACGTGGGGATTCATGCGGAGTTATGTCAAAAACCAAAATCTATCTGAAAACAAAATTGCGACTGATCTAAAAATTATGTAGTCATGGCTGTCATGCAAGAGCACGTGCTAGGTGAATGCCAGAGGTGATTGAAATTCATGTACGTGATTGCCAACGCGTTTCCCTTGGGTGTTATCCATAATAAATCCCTATCACGAGAGTCGAACGAGACCGATACAGTACACAAATTTCATCGATCGCGTCTGTTTATAATCTCCGGTGCACGTGAAAGGCGAGTGCCATACTCATTAAAAATGCCATCTCATTAAATATTCAAAGCATGAAATTTCCATACAATCCCTTTTCTTCGCTTAATAATTTTAAAAGCGACAGGTGTTTTGATTATCCGCGTATTCATTTTTCTATGTCGACCTTGAGCTTTTCAGTCAAATTCGATTGTCTTTTTTTAAAGCAAAGGAGTAACTTCCCTCATCGTTTGGCATATTTCTATGTTGGACCGCAGATTGTATTGTAAGCGCGGTCTGTAAACAAAACATTTACTCTGGAAGTCCAAATATAATGTAACACACCACATGTAGTGCGGGAAATCTGTCATTTACGGCACAATTGAAGGACAACTTAAGGAGCTACGGTCGGTCAAACTGTGCCTATAACGACTGTATACGCGAAAAAGACAACAAAAGATAGAAAATCTGATAAATATAAACATCTTTCTCCTTAGGGTGTCAAAATTAATTCAAAGCGAACTTGAAACCTTTGTCATTGTCACGGTAATTGTCAGATAACTATCGGATTTTAGCTGATAATATTGTGAAAATGTTCTCCCAAAAGTCTCCTAAAATGATTTCTTGTAATCGATCGGGTGCTGGAGAGTAGACCTGAAAAGGACAGTCTGACGTTTCGACATCCTCAAGGGAAGTCACAATAAGATTCAAGCGGCGATGTTGTTGCTTGCGGGAAGCCATATTCCCACGTACTGGTCTTGCAATCATCTCGGGACGGGCCACGAACACGAAATATCTTTGTCGTCATTTCCTTCCTCTTTTTCACAGACTTTCCCAATGGTGAAATCCTTTTGGCGCCCTTGAAATAAAGTCTTCTCGAAAGGGATATGCGTATTAAAGTGATTTGGGCGCTGTAGTACTAGTCCAGGGGCACATTTCTCAATCGTCACAACTGCGGAGATCAACGCCGGCTCCCGAGGGTTTATTCCAATAACAATGATAATAGTTTATTGAAAAACCGATATCGCAGTCTTTAGTGAGGGAGGCATTGGGGCCTCTGAGAAACCTCAAAACCGGAGAAAAAAATCTCCAAAACCGAAAAACCGACGAAAAAAGGCAGCAAAACCGAAAACCGCATGCAAATCTGACAAAACCGCTACATTTTCATCTTAAAGGGGTCAAAATGGAAAAACCGAAAACCGCATCAGAGTTTTCGTGAAAACCGAAAACCGAATGCAAGAAAATGTAAAATCAGCAAACCGCTCTGAACATGAAAACCGAAAAACCGAACCTTTTTGGCCCAAAAACCGAAAAACCGATCCAAAAAACAGTCAAAACCGCAAAACCGAAAATCCCAAATCCCCCCTCTTTAGACATAATGAAGGACTTTTGAAAACGATTGGTATGATAGCAGGGTTCAATAAAGAGTCTGGTATTTCTTAATGGGTATCTTGTGTAATGTTGAAATCTGGAGGTAGGTTGTACAACTTGTGAATGATAGACAGGGCCCACTTCTGAATTGTTTCGATGTCGTCGCTAAGATATGATGGTAAAGCGTAGTGAAATATGGGTGAACCGTATCCAACTACACTACGTATGCATGGAGAGTAGAATCTCACCATACCTGCAAAAGGCATTTTCGAGCGTTTGAGTTGTCCGAAAAAGTGTATACGTTTTGATGCTTTTTTAATGATGTAATTCACGTGGCAGTTCCACTTAAGGAACCTCCTTTTTAGCAAGGCCGGGAGGGCTGGCTTAGACACAGAACCCGGATATTTTGGAGGATTTTGACTCTAAAAATGGAAAAAAAGGAAAGTATCAGATAATTTGAAATTGATGGGACCGTTTGTGATGATTCAAAGAGGATTGAGCACTCCTACTGAAGAAAATTGGAAAACTGTGGATATATCACACGATGTCGGCGTTTATGTGTCCAGCCTTGGAGGTGGCTCGCGACAAGACCATTTTACAGATTAATTTAAAAAATGTGACCATCTATGGCGGCCACCGACTGGTTGTTTTTGTTTCGTTTTGTTTTGTTTTTCATGATATTTGCCTTCCATTTCGTGAGGGCGATGAAAGCTTCTAAAACACACTTAGCGTCATAAGCTCGATTTTCGCCGTCTCCTTTCTGCGATGAGAAGGTTACTTTGGGGATAAACACGGGCTCATTTCTTAAGCAGCGGCTGGTTATCAGGATTTTCAGTGTTTCACTCCTGGAATTGATGCTGAAGTTTCCGTGGACTTCTGAACGATAGAAGTTTTGTATTTCTTTAGTGTGTGTCCAACTTAGGCAAGCACATATAGCTTTAAACGACACGCACGCGCACGAAGTCTGAACCAAGCGTGTCTGCGCTCTCGCATCCCCGTTACTCGCTCGCAGTCGTTGTGGCGAGCGTGCCACGTACTTCAGACATCAGAAGGCTTTAACAGCACCTCGCAATGCAAGTTTTTCCCTTCTCCCGCTCTTATCTAACTTGAATGATCATCGTCAATCGTAAATCTCAGTTGTTGTTGTTGTTTTTAATATTTTTAAAAGGGGGAAAAGAAACCTATCTTCCGACGAAGACAGGAATGAGAGAGAAGGTTGCGATCCACATTTGATGGCTTGACATTTGAAAGTCACTCTAAATCGTGATACGCCAACGATTAAATGGTCAAGAATCATCAGAACGATACACCTGGAGAATATCATATGGGTAGATGTAAAGAGCAATTTTAAAATTTATCAAGCGAAACACGGAATGATATGATAGTTTTGAGTTTTGTTTTAATTCGCAACTGAGTTTGTAAGCCCCTAATTAAAAAGTTCTATAACTCCAGTTATTACAAATCCTTCTTTGAAAACTTTAAAAACATTAGGATGGATTTAACGTTGTTAATGAAACGAACTAATCCAAAGTTGATCATTTCATATTGTTGTATTGTTCGCAGCTATGATTCCATGACAGTCACGGAAAAACTTCTTGAATAATTATTGAATATCACAAAATGCTTTGTTGAAAAAACCGTTTACCCGCTTAAGAGTGAGACCTGGGTAGGAGAATTAATACTCAGAACAAACTATTAATGCGATTTTACGTGAAAATTTCCTTTAAATTACAGACAGGGAAAGTGAGAGAAATTTGTATGGAAAAGGGATGATGTACTTAAAGGGACGATGTACTTGTCACGTAGGATCCTTGCGAGGATCATACATGACAACACCCGCCGCGCCTCGACTAATGCTAAAAAAGCTCAATACAATTCCTTATAATTTTATTATAAGGAATTGTATGGAGCTCTCCGAGATACTTACAGCGCAAGCAATGTGTGTCTTGTTTCCATTACCAAACGGGGCGTGCGATAAAAATAACACAAGTGTGTCTACAAGTGGTTTGTTCGGATTAGCGCCGTGCCCTGGCTCCGATGACGCTTTTCCCACACGACCAATTAAAAACGAGGCGGAAAGAACTTCCGCTCAGGCAACCTGGCCTGAGGTTTATTCATGTTTTTCCGCATCTTTTTGTGGCTTCTGAGATTTAAAGAAACAAAACGAGATTTAGGTCAGGTAAACATAATCCATAAAATTACTTAGGTGTGTATTCTGTTCTAGGAATTCACCTCAGTTATACAGAGTGTATTTAGTATATCAAGACTAGAATCTAATTTATCTTAACAGTCAACCAAAACAAAGTAAAATTTTATATGGAAACCGAAAGGAAATGTTCAAAATGCCCAGTTAAAACAGCGAAAACCTTTTGTGTCCAAGCTGAATCATAGTTGTTCGAGATCATGTGAAATCTGAATACTAATCACACAGTTAAAGAAAGAAAACCATTCAATGTAGTCCCGGACTTCTTTCCACCTTGAAGCAAAAAGTTCTCATTCTTTTTCTTTACTTACTGTTTGATCGTTTTTCAGGGCCAAGCGCACACCACTGGCTTCAAACACAAGCTTGAACAGATTTTTCGAAGATGGAATTAGTGACCATTCCTGATCCTGCTGTTGTAGCTCCGCAACTGTTTCCAACTTGTTTCACATCGCCCTTAGCTAGTCGCTGTGCTTCGACGCCTGAGGACAACTCTCCAAGTTCGCCTTCATCTGAAGGCTTTGAACAGTTGTGCTCTGAAACCATTACCTTTCTCCGCGATGATAATGACGATGACGATGATGATGATGACGATGATAATGATGATAACTTTTCGTTGGGATCGTAGTCTGCGGAGCTGAGAGCCTTGTTAGATGCACCTGTTAGTGCTAAGGCAGACGAGGATCGGTGTTAGTATCTGAGAAAATGCGCACTTACCCTCCTCTAACCCAACATCAACCTTATCTTGTTATTATTTGACTATTTATATCGTAAAATAGATTTTGATTATTCATCGTGGTAATTAAAAGAGAAATGTAATCGTTTGTCTGACGATGTGGTCACTTGAGGTGTGGATCGCGACGTTTCGACTGCATACTGCAAGTCCTCTTCAGGCGCCTGAAGATGACCAGCGGTATGCAGTTGAAAGGTCGCGATCCATACCTCAAGTGACCACATCGTCAGACAAACGATTACATTTCTCTTTTAAGCATTTGACTGATGTTGGGTTATTGGAGGGGTTAGTTCATATGCTCCGACATAAACCCGCAGACTTTAGGTTTAACCTGATCAGCAAGTTTTTCTTTTTTTCCATACGTATCAAAATTAAGTGCATCAAGGATACTCCTATCTTGCAGTAGAACACTCATTTTGCTAGAGTTCTGTCTCGCGGATTGGAAAAATTTTTTTGTGCTGTGCAGAAGACAACTTCTAGTAGACTCCATTAAGAATGGTATCGCAATACACCATGGGAGCGATATGGTGCATGTGTTACGGGCACTGTAGATTACGTCATCGAAAATGTCTTGCTTTAGGGGAAACTCATTTACGAGGCAGAGAACGCAATATTTAAGTTTTTATCATTTGTTGAGTTTGAGTGCTCTATACTAATTGGACATATCATTGAATTTGATTTTATACTATATATAGGTGATGTCGATCGTTACTGATGTTCA